CATCAACATTTTGGTGATAATGAAGAGTTCTGTGCCTTTAAGTGTTAGGAAAGGTTCACTGGGAGAAGTTTATAACTTGAAGTGCAGTGTATTCTTTGATGCTAGAATTGTATGTGTTTTTTTTTTTTTTTAAGATTTTTATTTATTTGACAGAGAGAAAGACAGCCAGAGAGAGAACACAAGCAGGGGGAGTGGGAGAGGGAGAAGCAGACTCCCTGCTGAGCAGGGAGCCCGATGCGGGGCTCGATCCCAGGACCCTGGGATCATGACCTGAGCCGAAGGCAGCCGCTTAATGACTGAGCCACCCAGGCACCCCTAGAATTGTATGTTTTTATCTCATCCTGATAAAACACAGTAGAAGAGTTACTGCGCGCGCACACACACACACACACACACACACACACACACACACACACACTTTGCCTTGCTTTGCCTCAAGGTGTTTTTTATGTTCCGGGGTACAGAGTGTAGCTGGAGGCCTGGGTATACCCATCTGGGTGAGATTGCTGCTTTTTCCTTAATTTCCTGCTGACTTCATGTATGCTTTGAAATTCATAATCAAAAGCATGTCTTTACTACTTTTGATATGAGAACCACATTACTGTTCCTCATCAGTAGTCATTACTTGACAAAAACCTACCTAAAGTGTCTTTCCCAGATTTATTCATTTATTCTCTATCACTGGACTAGATGACCTTCAGTTTTCTCTCAACACTGAGAATCTGTGACAATTTCAGTCATTGGATTTCTTTCTTTCTTTTTAATATGATCTAAAAGACATGAAAAATATTAGAGGATGCAAAATCGGTGTAGTTCAGTCAAGGAAGAGGAAATCAGTTCATACTGAGTCTCTTCTATCACATAAGTAAATCTGTACACCTACCATGTAATTTGGTCTTTTTGAGATTTGCCCATTTTCCAAAATATAAAAGGAGACCCATCCTGTGAAATACCGAGGTTGATGGTTTCATTTCCGTAGGCAAGGTGAATTCTTTTGATAATATTCCGTCTTACCATTCAGCACAGCAGGAGATTCTTGTTGAGCAGAACTATGAAAAATTGAGAAAGTGGATTTTGACAGCCTCTGCACAACTCTTTAAAAATGTGTTAGTTATTATTTTAGAATATCAGCAGTAAACCTCACAGTTTAAAAAAAGACAACCCTATTTTTACTAACACACAACTCTCTGTGCTGTTAAAAAGCAGGTTACACACTTTGAGAGACTAGCTCATGGCGACTTGTTTCCGAAGATTTAACTACTCTTGCCTCTAAAAGTTGCATTTTGTTTAGGTAGGTTGCATTAAGCAGAGATCTGAAGATAAACATCAAAGATGTGCTAAATCAATGGTGAGAATTCCACATGCCATATTTCATAATAATGTCCTTTCAGAGAGCACAGAACAGTAACTGGTTTGGGTGTTTGTTTCATTGTTTGGTGGTAGAAAACAGGATTCCAGGAAGGTTATATGATTTTTCTCTCCATTTCTTAGTGACTAGAGAGGAAGAGAACCAAGCCTGTGGTCTTCCTGTGAAATTTAGTAGTCCAAGCAGAGCAAAACATCCTCCCTGTGTTTCCTCCTAGCAGCTGTGATTGTGAAAGTGTTGTGTGTGATTTACTGGTCAGTATTTCTACACGTTTACTTATTGTCACAATGTGTTCTAGGTCTTTCATGCAGAGCTCTAAGCCTTAAAACAGAAAAACCAAACCAAAACAAAGAACCCTATTATGGGCAAGTGTCTCTCTCTCTCTCCCTTTTTTTTTTTTAGAAAAAATACTTCTTGATAAAAACACAAACGTACATGAATGGCAACTGAAAAAGCATTGCTTCCTTCCAGAAAACCACTAGGATTTGCATAAACCACTTGACTGGTAAATGATTATCTGCTCTGTCAGTCCCTGGGGACTTTTAACATTAGGTTATTTGTATTTTTATAGGTAAGGTAAGTTCTGAATTTGCAGGTGGGTATTTGTTAAACTCTTCAAATAATGACAGTTTAAGAAACTGGATTTTCCAAAAGTCTTTTAAAAAGTCAATGAAAACATTTCCTCTCCTGGGTTGTGATAACCCCATGAATAAAATTAAAGGCCTCAATTGAAGGAGTTTGAATTTATGCTGTGCATAGCCTGTTAATTATTTCCCTTTGGTAAAACTGAGATGTGTTAAGGCTAAAACCTCAAAATATACCACTTTGAGAATTGGAAAGGAAGTTTAAAAGAATTTCTATTATCACTTTTAAAGCATCCACAAGGAGACATTTACAGCAATATAAAACACAACCTGGCTGCTTCTGTTTGGTATTTGCTCACTGAAGTAGATTACCCAAGGTGGTTTGAGGAAGAGATTGATGTCATTCAGAGCTGGAATTTTGCTGGGGTCCAGTTCTGGAAAAGCAGATTGACATGAACATTCTGGTAATTAAGTACATGTGCTACTGACAGTGAAATAATAGCCACCTTCGAATTTATTTATTTTATCTAGCAACTGCAGCATAATTTATTAAACTTTGGCTCGCTGAAGCCTGGCAGTGTTACAGGTAAATTTGCATAAACCCCAACTGATGCTTTTTCCTATATTTAATTTTCAGGTACAAATAGTTTGAAACAGTTTCTTTCATTTTGAGTTCATCTACAGCTACATTGAAAATTTTCATTTTATTTCCATTTTATTTCTTGTGGTTTTCGGTCTTCTACAACACCTTGTTTTTATCTAGGGGTGTAAAGCATGAGGGCTTATCTTGTTTATCTTTAGGTGACATCAGTGCCTTCAGAGTCAGAGGGGTCACAGTCAAAGCAGGTCTTTGTGTAGGCAAAGGACAGAATACTAAGGCTGATCTGTTACCATCAGGATCATCATGGCTGCCATTTCTGAGGGGCCATGTGTGTCCATTTGATTCTCAGCAATCCTGTGAGGTGTGTGTAGATTCACAGTTCCTTATTAAAAACGCTTAGGGTCAGATGTGTTTCAGAATTCAGAATTTTTTGGAATTTAGAAAGGTAATCAGGGATAATCCCACGTATGACAAAATCTCCAGTGGGGTCTGTGAAAGCACCTCAAAAGCAAGCCCGTTAATATTTCTTCAGGGAAATGTATGAGTAGTCACACTGAGTAGAATAAATAAAAGCCATAAACACTTTCATGTTAATTCAGATCAGGTCTTGCCCCCAAATGAGGTTGGGCATCGTCTTATGAAAACATTTTTGTGTCTTTCCAAACTTTTGATAAATACCAAATAAATAAAGTTAATAACAGGTAACAAAATATTACTCTTGTTTTGGAAAAATAGAAGAAGCTTGGTGCTTTCTCTTCCTGCTGTACACCGTTGGAGAACCCCCTTCTTTTTTGTTATCCCCCACAAATTATACTGACTACTTAGGCAGTAATTACTCTTCTGCTTTCTGTAGATAGTAGATTTCTCAAAGCTATGCAAGAATGGTATTTCCTACAGAATGAATGGAATTTAACAAGACAAAATATCACAAGGAAAAACAAAGTTCAAACTGCAAGGATGGAGGCATTGTGTCTTAGCTGACAGGCAGTTAGCAGTCTGTTAAATGAACTGACAGTGTGAAGAGGCTACCAGCAATGTGAATGCACTTCAGCTACACAGCAGGAGTGCCATATTTAGGATGTAAGAGTCCGTCCAGTCTCACTGGATGCAGACCATATCTGGGGTCTTGGCTTTGTTTTTGGATGGCATATTTTAAAGGGGGATGCAGGCATTGTGAAACCTTTTCCGGGTAGGTTGAGCAGGAGGGTGGAAACACTTGAAGCTATGTCATGTAAGGCACAGGTGAAATAAGTGGGCCAGTTTGGTTGAAAGTTTTGCCAGCTTCTAGCAGTGTTGGACTACCGTACCTGCTCAAATGAGCAATTTCAGCTTCATATCAATTGGCTGCCAGCTGTATATGCCACATCCTAAGCTGTTAAACATTTGGGATACAAAGATGAAAGGACAGGGGCCCTGCCTTTCATGGGCTTCTTGTCTACCAGGACACAGAAGTGTACGCAGCTATTTCCAGTACAATCTGATAGGTGGAACAGTAACCACAGTACAGGGGCAGCACAGAGAAATTACAATCAGCTCCCTGTGGTGATGGGAGATGGAAGCCTGAAGCCTTCAGAGAGAAACTGAATTCTGAGCTGGGTTTTGAAAAAGAAATTTAAGTGAGTGAAATAAAATTGAGACGGGACAGCATAGGCTTGTTCAAATATTTGGAAAGATGTCCTGTATAAGAAGGATTGAAATGATTCAGTATGATCTCAGGGGCTCAGGGACCAGTTGGGGAAGTGTACAGGTAGAGATATTTAAAAGAGGTCTCGGATAGAGCTGTCCAAAGGTTTCTTTGGAATGTTCGGAGTTCCTAGTCCCTGTATGTGCTGAAGCACAGACAAGTCAATTGTTTGGCAGCAATAGTACAATAGTACACGGTGGGGGCAGAGTGTCACGCAATGGATAGAGTGAAAAACATAGTGAAGTGCTTAAGGGCATGGGTTCTAAGGATTCGGCTCTAGAACCTGTTACTTGTACCAACTGGCGCTGTGACCTGAGCTCAGATTGTTACGAAGTTAACATTAGCATGCTCAGAACAGCCCTTGATACATAGTAAGTGCCAAATAAGTAGCTGATAAATATTAGCTATTATCGGGGCACCTGGGTGGCTCAGTCGTTAAGCGGCTGCCTTCGGCTCAGGTCATGATCCCAGGGTCCTGGGATCGAGCCCCGCATCGGGCTCCCTGCTCTACGGGAAGTCTGCTTCTCCCTCTCCCACTCCCCCTGCTTGTGTTCCCTCTCTCGCTGTGTCTCTCTCTGTCAAATAAATAAATAAAATCTTTAAAAAAAATATTAGCTATTATCATTGTCATTGGATGGGTGGTTGACATACCCTTTGAAGCCCATCTCACCTTGAAAGACTGAATTTCTGCAGATTTCTACAGCATTTTCAAGGAGGCTGGCATTGCACAACTCTCCCTAGCTCCTGTTTTTCTTTGTCTCTTAGATAAAGTGGCCTCCTGAATAGGAATGCCTGCCCAAATATCAGAATTGGAGATCATGGATGAAGATCAGTTAATTGAAGAAGTCTTGGATAAGTTTGTTAATTGCCATGAACAAACATATGAAGAATTTCTGAGCACTTTTACTCATCTTTCAAAAGGTAAAATGGAGAAGTAAACTTTCTACAGCAGTAGAGATAAAGAATTTTATTATAATTTTATGTCTTTGCTGCCTTTTCAAAAAGACTGTGCAATAAGCATCCATTCATTTCTTTCTTTTGATCAGCTAATCAGGTGTTCGAGACCAACGCATGTAAATACCAACATTTTTATATGACCAAGAGTTGTATTATGGAGTCAGAGCCATTGCATTTGAGAATTAAAAGTGACCTGAGAAACCATTTTGTATAATTACTTTATTTTTGAAGAACTGTAAGTGCAAAGAGTGGAGGTTTTTTAAAGCATATTTAAAACTTTCAAGAAATATAGCATAGTATAGGCTATGGAGTCACACTGCATCCATTTGGATCCTGCCATTGCCACTTTTTGGGGTAGGTGATCTTGGGGGAGGGGTTTGAGTAAAGGGGAGTAATAATAGTACCTTAAAGGTTGATGAAGGTTAATTGAGGTAATCCAAGTCAAACTCTGAGCATAGTGGCTAACACATAAATACTTAACGAATGCTAGGTATTGTGTTGTCATTGTTATGATGATGATGCTAGAGTTTCTGTAGAATGAAAACAACCCTTCAGATGGGAAGTGATAAACTATAAAGCCTAAAGGCCAGGCCCATGTTGTGTGTTTTGTTATGTGTCATGTGTTTTTTCAATTGAGCCAACATTTAAAAGTTGGGAAATTTTACATAAAAATATTGACTTTTTTTTTTTCTTCTGATTAAGAGAGAAGACCTGTTACTTCTTATTTCCCTGATGGCAATAGCAGCTAGAGCTCGGGAGCCCTTGCCCTGTGAGCTCCCTGTTTGTCACACCGTCTGGCACTCACACATTCTAAAAATGTGTGCATATACCTTGCCTGCTTCATTCACCCAAGTGGCTCCTGCAGGCATTTGAGTTTGTAATCTTTGTTCTGGGTTCTGCTTCAGACGGCCTGCCGCTGGCTTGCTCTCAATTTGGTCCTTTGTGGGTCATTGATCCACATTTGTGAGGCAGTTGGTTCTCCACCTTACTGCAGTTTGGACTCACGGAGGATATTTTAGAGCATGGTGATTCTGGGGCCCCCTCTGAATCTTAGCTGGGGCCCAGGAATCCGTATTTTGTAAAAATTCCTCCGGTGGTTCTAATGTGTACCCAGTTAAGAACAGGGAGTTTCATAATCTCCCGGGGTGATGACACTTGTCAAGATACTTGACTTCATGATTTTAAGTCATGATTCATGTGTCCTTAACAAATGTGTAGGAAGGGTATTTAGAATGAAGAAAAGGAAAAGTGATTCTACCCTGTTTCTTTTGCAAGATAGTTGGAATATCGATATTTGTTTTGTTTACACTTTTAAACTGTGGACTGTTTTTGTTTAGACTTGTTTTTTTTTTTAAAGATTTTTAATTTTTTATTTGACAGAGAGAGTACAAGTAGCGGGGAGTGGCAGGCAGAGGCAGAGGGAGAGGGAGAAGCAGACTCCCAGCTGAGCAGGGAGCCCGATGAGGGGCTCGATCCCAGGTTCCCGGGATCATGACCCGAGCTGAAGGCAGACGCTTAACTGTCTGAGCCACCCAGTGTTTTTGTTTACACTTAATGGAAAAATATTTAGTGGAAATATTTAATGGAAAAATATTTAATATTTCCATTAAAATGGAAATAGCTAGTTTGGGGCTGTGAATGATCTATTTTGACAGGATATGTGGATCAAATTAATCTTGATTAATGACCAAATCATCTTTTGGTCTATGAACTTGGGTTTGGGAAGATGTTTGCCTTCTCTGAGCCTAATGATTTTGTTCCATGCTGTCTGTACATAACAGAGCAGTGTGAATGGTTGGGGTGGGGTGTTGGAAACAAGGATAAAACTAGCAGGATTAATACATTCTGGCATTTTGATAATCCAGATTATTTTGGAAATTACTTGTAAAGCTGACTTTGTTTGCATACTCTGAAAAAGTAAGAACTTCTTGCAAGCACTTGGATATTTTAAAGAGGTTCTGATGGGTTTTTTTGAGGGTAAGGGGGATAGGATATTCTGTTTTCAGATTTCTGTAAGGTCACTGCATGCTGAGAAAGAAACTGTTGCAGATGTGGTGACTTCATTGCGAGTTCAGTGTTGGGCCCCCCAAATTGAGCTGAAATGATAATGCAAGTCACATAAACTGCATTTCCAAGCACACTTTTTTTTTTCTCCTTTCAAAATATCCCTAGGCGCCAGTTCACATTATAAACTAATGACCTGAAAAAATTCCTCTTAAAGCACAAAGAACTGTGAGTGCAAAAAATGTGTCTTAAATCAGTAAGCATCCTTGGGTCCCCCCTCCCCCTCCTGAAACATTTAAGTACTTTCTGAAAAACCAAACAGCACTTAGGGACAGCCTAGGCATGGAGTGATAGCCCCCAGAACTGATCAAAGTGAATGTCGTTAGCTCTGTTTTACAGAAGACATGAAGGCTGTTTCTTCAAATTTTTCCCCTTCTTTCCAGCCCTTCATTTGTCTTGGTGGGCTCAGTTGTTTTGCTGATCCATAGAATCTTCTCTCTGTGAAAGTGGTTATCACCACGCACGCTCATGTACATTTCTTGAGTGAGTTTGGTTTCTCAAGTCTATTACAATTTCCCCAATTGATTGTTCTATTTATTTTTATAATAGTTATATGCCAGAATGCTTATAGGATTCATTTTCTTTCCAAGAGTGTTAAAAGGGTCAGTACTCCTATTAATATTTCCCTGGAAAAAATTAAACTACAGCCTGATTGAAAGAAATTCACATCACTGCTATAGACTGTTAGAAAATCGTTGGAAACTGTAAATATTGTAGTAAAATTCTCGCTCCAGTACACTGATGTTGATCAATTGTTGCTGTTTTTTTTTTTTTTAAAGCAACTCTGGTTTTTTTAATCATGATACACACTTGATAATAAATACATACTTGATAATAAATACAATGTTCTATCAAAATTTAAAGAGACACATTAATTATTTGTTTTAAACAGACAGTTATAATTGAATTCTCAGTAGTGTCATCAGTTCAAGAGAGTAAGATCAAGTCATGAGATTTGTATTAGAAAATCAGTGTGCAGATTTTGGTTTTATTCATTATTTGGTGAAGATGTTATTATATTGTTGATATTATTGTGGGTAAAGATAAGAGGCTAAGTTTCAGTCTTTGGCATTTCAGTTTCTTTGTGAAGGTGATTAATTTACAGGTCCTTCTAAACTATCCATCTAAAGGAAAAACATGCTTTTCTCTCCTTGTCTGACATATTTCTATCGTGCTTAAGTTATAAAAACACAGATGTGAAAACATATTTGATTTTCTGTTAATGGATTTATTCATTTATTCATTCATTAATTCTGTGTCTCCTAATGGTCTATGTATTGTTTTAGGTGATCAGGATCCAAAAATAAGATATAGTTTGTGTTTTCAAGCTCATAGTCCAGGAGGAAAGATAAATAAGTAAACAAAAACTTACACTAGTGTATGATAAGTACTGTAATGGAGGAAAGCACAGTTCTGTGAGAGCTCATAGGAGGGCCATACAGCCCCTACTTGGTTGGGGAGGGCAATAAAATCTACCCATTGGAGAAGATGTCTGCGGTGAGTCTGTGGTAGCCACTGAACCAAAACTTGCCTTGGGTCCTAAGACATAAATAAAATAGAGTGCAGGAAGTTTTGACAGATAAGAGCCAAATTGAAAGATGTTAAAAATGCCTCCATTGTTGATTGTCCTTTGGATCATGTTTCCATTTGTTTTTTAGTACTAATACATATATTCTTTAAAATAATATATGGTGGAGATGGAGATGTAACCTTGTTTTAGTAAGGGTGAGAGTTATTTCTAATTTCCTTCCACACCAGGATTACCACATGATCTGATTTGGGAGCCATCTGCTCCCATTTTTTAGGGTGTTAGTTACTGCTCATATTGCTGTCACACAGAAATTATATATTTAAGAAGCCAGTGACTTAGAAATGGACATTCAATCTTTTCAAGTCCATTTTGTTACATATAGTAGAAACTCTAGCGGGTGGTTATAGTAGTTATACGCAATTCTCAATCTCTCTCTCTCTCTCTCACACACACACACACACACACACACACACTGTTATTCTGATTTTGTTCTTTAGGCTACATGATTAATTTTCATTAAAGTTACCCATTTTACCAACTGTTTAACTTAAAATAGTTTAGAAATTGAAATGAATCTACTGAGGGGCGCCTGGGTGGCTCAGTCACTGAGTGTCTGCCTTCTCAGCGGGAAGCCTGCTTCTCCCTCTCCCACTCCCGCTGCTTGTGTTCCCTCTCTTGCTGTGTTTCTCTCTGTCAAATAAATAAATAAAATCTTTTTTAAAAAAAAGAATCTACTGTGATTTTATGATTAACTGTTAGATAAGTCTTTGTTTTTCATTCTTTTCTTTTAATCTTAAAACTCGTAAGATCCAGTTCCCAAGTGATTCTACTGGTTTTTATATTACCACATAACAGCTTTCTATGCACTGCTATATTTATCTACTTTAACCTGTTTTCTTACGTCTAGATCAAAGATTTTAGTTTCTGATTTTGATGTGTGAGTTTGTTTCTAGTTCTCTTTATGCTATTCTCATTTCATTTGCAATCCTTTGTGCTTTTAGTGTTTTATTATTCTTTCAACATGTCTTTGAAAAAAATCCCATCAACTCAACCTCCCTCTCCCTTCATACTTGTTAATATAAGAATTAAATTCCCCCTGAGGTAGAACATTCAGGACAAATAACCAATGCCTGTGGCTTTATAAACTGGTGGTGGAGATTGTTCCAAACTCTTAGAGTTTCAAAACCTCTAAATAGGTTTCAATTTTTCTTAGATTTTAGTAATCTTATGTAATCATAAGAGAGCTTAATCCATATTTTTTACTTCATTCACATTTAGTTCTTTAAGGAACTACACCAACGCTTTATCACCATTGCAAATTTCAGGAATGTTCAGTTAACCAGATGATGTGATCAATAGGTCCGCATTG